TATAAAATTGAAACTAAAAAGTATAAGCCAAAAACAATTGAGGAAAAACTATCTGTAGACATAAAAAAAAAGAGATTCAGGTACTCCTCAGAGAACGGTTAAGCCTATACGTTGATATGCTTAAAACTGGGTCTGGAAACGCGAATGACGGCAACACTGCCAGAAGAGCATTTAAAAATAGTAAAGTTTTTTCTGAAGTTACTAAAGTTGATTGTGATATAATTAAAAGATTTCATAATATTTTCATAACCATATCTTGTGGATATCCTATTAATATCAATGAATTAAATTTATACTGCACTGAAACAGCTAAACGTATAGTAAGTTTATACAACTGATATGTTATGCCTCCTACTGTACATAAACTGCTACTGCATAGTTCTTCTATATCAAATAAATTACCTTTGCCAATCCATGTATATTCGGAAGATGCACTAGAGAGTTTAAATAAACAGATAAGAAATCCTAGACTTAAGCACACGGCAAAAATATCAAGGTTAAACACAATGATGAATCAGATGCACTACCTTCTAATAAGATCAGATCCAAAAATATCATGGATATTTTTTAGAAAACATAAAAGGAAAACCTTTACCAGATGAAGTTTTTAAATTAATTGTAATGTATATAATAAATTTAATGTAAAAAAAATAAGGTATTTTTTTTCTATGTATCAACATCCTTTAAAAACCATTTTTATAAAAATATCAAGTAGAGTAATATATCAAAATTATGTGTTTGTCTTGAAGATTCTAAAAACTAAAAAAAAAAAAAAATTTGTACGCGTATAGTCATCTTTAACACGCGTAAGCGCGCATTTTACTCGTCGAAGCTGCGCATTAAAAAAAAAAATATTAACAAATTTGAAATCTTTGACTTAAAAATTATTATTTCAATATGTAACATTATTTATTTACGATTTATGTCAATTTTTATTTAATTTTTGCCGTTTTTTGATTGTCCTGAGTCACTGTGCGTCGCATTTTTAACCATAATGATATAAAAACAACGTTGGCAGCTGATGTTGGGCCAACATTACGCGCGACATTGTTCTAATGTTTTAACAATGTATGTGTGCTAGCTGGGTAGTTATAAAGATTAAACTATGGATAATTATCATTTCCTGTTTAAAAACAAGAAAATAAAATATTATTTTGATAACATAAATAGCACTACTGATGATTTTGAAAGGCCTTTAGTGCTAAAAATATTAAACTTAAATTTAGTGTATTTTACTTAGTAGTAACAATAAAATAAATATTTTATATGCAGTGTTTATTTGTTTGACCACTTATTTAACTGTTTATTTGTTTGACCACTATATATATATATATATATATATACATATATATACATATATATATATATATATATATATATATATATATATATATATATATATATATATATATATATTATATATATATATATATATACTTATATGTGTATGTCTATATAGATGTATGTGTAATACACATACGCTGTATGTGTGTGTATATGTTTTCATGTATGTATATGTGTTTGTATGTATGCGTTTATGTATATGTATGTGTGTATATACGTATATTTGTGTGCATGAATATATGAATCTATATATGTACATTATATGTATATATGAATCTATATATGTATATTATGTATGTATACAATACAGGAGGATATAAGTAAATGCGTCCAGAATTCGTTTTCATAACACAGTTTTGAATTCCGAACATTTTTGCAGCGAACTCCAAAATTAAAATTAACTTTTAATTTACTTTTAAGTTGTGTTTTTGTTTCTGTACATATAAATATTCTACATTCTAACTCTATAAGAAGAAATTAAGAAAATAGTTGTAAATTATAGTCATCCTGCGTAATACAAGTAAACATAGAGAAAACATTCCTAAATTGTTAAGTTAACGGTTTCATGCCTTCACTTCATATCCACATGTAATATTTTGTTGAGATTCGCTTATTGCGTTATTGCGTTTTTATGTTATTGCAGTTAACGGTTTCATGTCTTTTCTTCATATCCACATGTAATAGTTTTTATATTTGGTATAACCTTGTGTTCGTGTCGTATGTATCAAGACTTTCAACAGTGTTGAGATTTGCTTATTGGAGTGCGGTGTGTATTGAATTATTTGGATCAATAAGGTAAGCAAATAAAAACTGGAAAAACAGCAGTTTTAATTTAACAAAATTATTTGATAACTATTTAACTTTAATTTTGTTTTGTTTAACTACCCGACGGGCATTTGTTTTTAAAAGTTACGTTCTAAATGTGTTTTAAATGTCTTTTAAACGTCTTTTAAACATTAATGTTTAAAAGACGTTTAAAAGACATTTAAAATACATTTAGATTGTAACTTTTAAAAACAAATGCCCGTCAGGTAGTTAAAATTTTATCAACATAACATCCTAAAATGTCTTCAAAGGAAAGTTTTTTGGAAAACACAAATCAGGGTAAAAACCAAAATTCTGTTTACATTCATTTTTTAAAAGGATCAACAATTAACAGCAAAATTTAAAATATGTTATATTTTAGTAAAAACCGCTCGTTCAACGGCAACGACCGCAGCACACGCATTTACGAACAATAAACAATATTAATGTATTAAAACGGGATGTCGTGCAAGATGAAGGTCCAGAAAGTAGCGCATCAAAAACGATGATAACAAACTATTTATTCAACAAAAAAGATGAATCATTTTTTGCAATCATATCACAAATGTGTTTCTTAGATAAAACGCCATTTAAAGTTTTCTGTATGTCTATCGATTTGAGATACTTGTATTTGGCTTGAGATTTTGTATTACCAAAATCATTTAACTCGATTTGCAAAATGGTTTTAGAATACGCATAAAAAATGCGGGCTAAAATGATGCGGGATTTTATAAATTCAAAAGAAGGAGCAACAATATTTTGCTTAATTCTAGATAAATGAACATCTTCAAGAAACCGATGTTGTTTAAATGTGGTTGTCAATGGCAAGAAACAGATTTGGAATTTAGGTTTAGTACCTGTTGAAGGAAGTTTCTGAACAAATAAATGCATTACGGCTCTGAAAATCACATTGCAAGGCAAGAATCTAAATATCGATAAAGGTTTTATGTCTATAACAACTGATAGGGCAGCGGTGATTCAAAAAGTTGGACGGCTTTGGTGGCTCACACATATACAGAACATGTTAGTGTAGAAGATCAAGTAAGTGACTTTGGTGAATCGGATGCGTTTTTCGAGAACAAAAAATGATATTCTTCAACTATACGTGAAACAAGAATTTGGAAAACAATTGAAAATTATTATGGACACTGAATTAGATGGAATAGCTTAGTCGAAATGCTTGAAAGTTTTAATAAGCTAAAAAGCTGTGTTAGAAAAGCATTGATTTACATTGCATCTGATATCGTTATTTTAAATGCTGAAATTTTTTCGATTAAAAACATTATCTTTGCATGTCTTCCAGTGAAACTAACTATCAGATGAAGCTTACAAGCCAAAGACGAACTAATGACAAACTAGTGCATGTGTCCCAGTGAAGCTTACTGTTAGATGAAACTTACAAGCCAAAGACGAACTAGAAGAATTGTCTAAAACTCTTCAGTATTTACACAATGGCGGAAAAAGTAAGATTCACGCATCTTTCAATTCAACTGGAGTCTGAAAAAAATTATATATAAAATTTTTTTTTTTAATTTCGGAACTCGACCGAATTCCGAAAAAATTTAATTTCAAATCCCGATTTTTTTATTTTCGTAAAAATTTGCGTTCCCTAATTTAAATGAATTTGTGAATGTAAGTGTGTTTATGTGTATATATACATATATATATATATATATATATATATATATATATATATATATATATATATATATATGTATATATATATATATATATATATATATGTATATATATATATATATATATATATATATATATATATATATATATATATATATATATATATATATATATATATATATATATATATATATATATGTATATATATATATATATGTATATATATATATATATATATATATATATATATATATATATATATATATATATATATATATATATATATATATATATATATATATGTATATATATATATATATATATATATATATATATATATATATATATATATATATATATATATATATATATATATGCATGTATATACATATATATATATATATATATATATATATATATATATATATATATATATATATATATATATATATATATATATATATATATATATATATATATACCGTAAAATCGCCTAAGCTCGGTCACTTAAGCTTTGAACATTAATTTATCACGCATAAATATAAAAAAGTTGAATTTTAATTTTGTTTGCATGAGTTTGATTATTTAGTTATTGAAATTTAAAAAAATTAAAAAAAAGAAAATAGAAAAAAATTGAAAAAATCTGTAAACTACTTTAATGCTTATTACAACAAATTATATTTATTGTACAAATTATATTTATATATTTATTGTATGACTGCTTAAACAATTTAAAATAATAACAACCATTGCACTAAACTAAAAAAAAAGTCAAACTGCTGTACTAACTATTCAAAAATGTATATTAAAACTCTTGTACAAAATCGTTAAATCTGTTTTGTACCAAAATTGTACCAAGCCCACTATTGCACCAATTCCACTATTGCAACAAATTGCTAAATCTGTTGCACCTAATCAATTAAAAAAATTTCAAACCTGCTGCACAAAACTCTAAAAAAATTAAAAAAAACAAAATAATACGAAAACTACCATTACATGTAAATAAAGCATTTAAACAATTTGATAGTGACAATGGTTTTATGCCTAATATTCTTTGATAATACAGCCAAATATCTTTGGGTTGGTGACATAATCCACTGGATAAATATCATTAAATGCTAATTGACATACTGAATTTGACATACTAATCTTGTAGCGCAAATTGAAATCATATAGTAAAAAGTTAATTATTTAATTGCAAGTATAGCACGTACCATCTTTCACTATAGAAATTTTTTTAACAGTAAGCTTGTTTTCCCTGAAAAAAAATGATTTTCCAATATATTGTACATATTGGTAGAGTTCTGCTTTCATTCCATACATTTCACGATTAGTGTTGTTTTGAACCATAGCAGTTATCAATATATGTTCACCTGAGCAATATGCTTTTCTATCAATACTTGCTGAAATGAAATAATTTTATTTAAATACTCTAATATATCGAATCATGAATATGACGGGGTACAGGAATAAATAAAAGTTATGTAAAAATAAAAGCATTACAAATACAAAGAAAAAGTATAATATGACAAATCAAAAAAAAAAAACTGCAAACACACTTAAACATTGTAGGGGAGAACAAAAAGGTACTAAAATAATTAGGGCAAAAAGTTACTAACTAAAATGTCTATTTTAAACAGTAACTCTCTTGTTTCGTGTTCTTATTTGTTATTGTTTGTTCACAAACAAAATTATTTTTTAGAATTGCATCAAGATGTACAAAACTATGGAGATTTATGTAATCAAATATATTGAGATTGCATCAAGAACTACAAAAATATGGAGATTTATGCAATCAAAAGTAATTTTTCATGAATAAATAACAATTGGCACTTAAATGTTTTTAAAATATATTCTCGTTTGTTTTGGGTACATAACCATAGTTTAATAAATAAAATATATTTTTGTCAGCTGATTTGCAAATCAAGGTTAAAATATGTTTAATCTTTAAGACTTTTGAATTCCATAGTTTTGGGGTATAGTAGAATCCGAAAATCTCAAAGGTAAAACTCGTTTTAACAATGCTGAGCTAACAAGCTGACAAAGTCCTGATATAAACAAACATTTAGATACTGAAATAAATGATTGTTGTTTCTTTAAACTTCATAGCTGTAGCCTTAATTATTTAATTTAATAATCAAGGCTACAGTCTTTTGTGTTGCAATGTGCAGTTACAAAATGCAAAATGTCTTGTATAAGATATAAATTGTTTCAACTTTATTACAAAATTTACTTTTCAATGGTAAAGCTGAATTAAAACATAATTATTCAAGTCTTAGTTACTTTAAAACTAAATTATGTTCAGAAATATATTACCAAGACTGGCACAATTGGGAGTCTGCAAATTTTAAAAAGCAAGGACCTTTTTTTTTTTAGTCGACAAAAATTATAAATTAACTGCTGGTTAGTTAAAAAAAAACTTAAAAAAAAAATAACTTTTTGTTAATTTTTTAAATCTATAATTAGTGCATTCTACAGTTAAATAAAACATATATAAGAATTTTAGTTTTATTTGTATTTGTATTTTATTATTTTTTAGTATAACTGTTTTTGAAATAATTGTGAATAAAATAAAAGACCTCTTGACAAAACCTTTATCAATAATATACTAATCTGAATATGCTAGAGTTGAAAACATGTACAACACAAATAGCAATATAAATCACAATATTAACACGATAACAACATTAAATTAAATTAAATAATTCACAACAATCTTTTTATTTATACTGAAAAGTCAACCTAGTTTAATAATTTTAAATTATCATAATTTACTGGAACTTTGCAAGTTTTAGTAGAGCATCATAGAATATCAGTGATGGCTTACTTATTGGATTATTTACTTTTATTTCTTATTTAATTTTAGACGATGGACTACGCATAATTTATGAAGTTCAGACATCAATTATGCAGACTATATATCAATTATGCAGACTATACATCAATTTGCAGACTATACAGCAAGTAACAATTTATAAGTTACAATAAGCCCAATATAATTTAAGCTGATTATTTTTTAATTTTATACAACAAAACTTGCAATTTATGTAGCTTTTATGCCATTTTTGGTTATTGAACAAATAGAATTTAAAAAAACTTTTGATGTTAAATATTTGTATGATGTTATAAATTTTAAATTGCCACTTTTGCTTCAAAAATCACCTTTACAGTATAATATGTATCCTAAATAGTGACAAATATATATATATATATATATATATATATATATATATATATATATATATATATATATATATATATATATATATATATATATATATATATATATATATATATATATGTATATATTTAATGTGTCGTGTAGCGTAACTAAAAACAAAAATAGAAAATATCTACAAATTCAATTAAATACACTATTGTTTGAAGATCAAACTATATTTACTTATGTAAAGTAAAGCATAACACAAATTGTGAGTTTTTAACATATGTATATAGAATATCAAAGCAAATATTATAGCAATATCTAATATATAAATAAAATAGCAAATATCCTGCCTTGCAGGATTTGCCATCTAAGCAAAGGCTGGAAAGAGTGTTCTTCCTGTCATCAGTACTATCTTATATCAGTCATGCCTATAGTAATTTTTTTTTTTTTTTTTTTTTTCCCCATATAGTTGGAGGTGCCTTAGTTACTGTATTAGCTCACCTGTAATCTACGTTATATGTATGTTTGTGTTCTGTCTGAACCTCTGGCACGGTGTTCGCTCACCCGTAAGTTACTTTATGTTCCTTATGTATGTCTGTGTTCTGTCTGAACCTCTGGCGCGGTGTTCGCTCACCCGTAAGTTACTTTATGTTTATGTTTATGTTTTTTATGTTTTTTTATGTATGTTTGTGTTCTGTCTGAACCTCTGGCGCGGTGTTCGCTCACCCGTAAGTTACTTTATGTTTTTTATGTATGTTTGTGTTCTGTCTGAACCTCTGGCGCGGTGTTGACTCACCCGTAAGTTGATTTATGTTTGTTTGTGTTCTGTTTATACTCTAATGCAGCGTGAGCTCAGTAACTAACTACTTACTCCAACTACAAAACGTACACTCACCTTAGACTCCTGTATTTTGTTAGATGCAGTGTTTTTCCTAATGCACTTCCAAAATGTCATGCCTGGTTTTCTCAAAGTACTGTTGCAAGAAGTAACTCCTTTTAACTACTCCAGGTCAAGTCAGGATAATCGAGATCAATCTTGCTACTGGTATCACGTAACCCAGTACCACCTGCCACAAGCCCTGCTGCCTTGCAGAGAGTGCTCTTCTTACGCAAAGGCTAGGAGAAATAAACCCCGACTAAAAATTCCCCTGCCTTGGGGCTCTTGGTTGAGTAAAGGCTAGAGATGGTGTCTCGATAAAAACACTCATCTTGAGCAGATGTTAACTGCATCCAGCTAAACATCCCCTGCCTTGGGGCTCTTGGTTGAGTAAAGGCTAGAGATGGTGTCTCGATAAAAATACTTATCTTGGGCAGATGTTAAAAGCATCCTGCTACTGTCTTGTAGAAGGCCTCCTAGACAAAGACTTTAGGGGTAAGCAGAAAAATTCTGCTAACCAGCCTCGAACCCCTTCTTCATCTATTAGGCTGGCGTAGATGTAACCTGTGTTACATTGTTTCCTGCCTAGGATGATGAATGCTGGATCTCCTTGACTCTACTCATAGAATTTTGCTTATGCCTCCTTGATAATGGCTATGCACCTCTTCGTGTTATCTCCATATGAGGGTACAGCTCTAAAACTCAGTTTAATGGTTCTTAGGCCGGCTGGTAGTAAGGTTTCCCGAACTCTGTGGTAGCTCTCAGAGAGGCTGATTCCATCAACAGCTGCAAAATATCAGAGTATTAACAGTGCCATGTTGCGCATGGATGGTGTCCCTGTTAATGCTTTTGGTGTGCATTGTCAAGGCCACATAAGGAGCCCTATGTCACGGCTTAGGGTTAATTAACAGGACTGAGACAACTGCATAGCTCATTGATTAGGAGGCTGTGCTCTATCTATGAATGAGTCAAGTTCTCATTAAAACCAAACCATGACCAAAGTAACCAAAAATTTAAAACCTAAAAAACCATCCCCACCACCTAAATATTTTAATATATCTTTTACAAATATTCGCGGTCTACAAAGCAACTTTCCATCAGTTGAGTTTTACCTCCTGCAAAATTAACCAGACTTGCTTGCACTCAGTGAAACAAATTTAAGTTCTGCAATTCCTTCTTCAGATGTCAGTGTTGATGGGTACTATCCTTTGATTCGTAAAGACTCCAATAGTCACATGCTAGGTTTAGGGGTATACATACGCATTAATTCCCCTATTTGTCGTGAAATCAGGTTCGAATGCTTTGACCATTCTTTTATGTGCTTTCGCCTAGCACCTCTTCACTCTATCACCTTTCTCTTTGTTCTTTATCGTTCTCCTTCTTCCCATGATTGCACTCTTTTAGATGTTATCTCTGATCAAATTGACCATGCCCTCTCTCTTTACCCCTCTGCCAATATTGTTGTTGTTGGTGATTTTAATGCCCATCACACTGAATGGCTTGGCTCTAACACCACTGATCCTGCTGGCACTAAAGCCTTTAACTTCTGCGTTTCCAATCTCTTACTCAGATAGTTAACTTTGTGACTCGTTTTCCTGACAACCCTAATCATTTACCTTCACTCCTTGAATTATGTCTTGTCTCTGACCCTAGCTTATGTTCAGTTTCTTCCTTTTCTCCCTTAGGTGGTTCTGACCATGCATTGATCTCTATAAATCTTTCTTCTCGTACTTCTTTTTTGGGCTCACCTTATCATCGCACCACCTACTACTATCCTAAAGCTGACTGGGATTCCTTTCGTGATTTTCTTCGTGATGGTCCTTAGGCTGATGTTTTTTCTTTCTCAGCTGACAAATGCGCCTCCTACATAACCTCCTGGGTTCAGGCTGAAATGGAAGCTTTTATTCCTTCTCGTCGGTTTCAAGTCAAGCCTCATTCTACTCCATGGTTTTCTCCTTCTTGTGCGGCTGCTATATCCAATCGTAATCATTTTTTTCATCTTTTTCAAAAGAACAACTCTCTTGAGAACAAACGGCTATTTATTATTGCAAGAAATCGATGTAAAAAGGTGCTTTCTGATGCTAAACTCCATTATTCTCAGTTCACTAAATCTCGCATCTTATCGCAGAAGTTAGGCTCCAAAGACTTTTGGAAAATCTTCAACAGCATTGTTAACAAGAGTAGATCTAACATTCCGTCTCTCATTCATGGGACTGATCTTATTACCTCTCCCAAGGATAAGGCAGAACTATTTGCAAAGAACTTTTCTTCTAATTCCACTTTTGAATCTTATGGACATTCTCTTCCTTCCATTCCAGTCAAACAGGTTGACCCATTGTTAGACATTCAAATCACTCCGG